TTTATTGGTCTTTGTGAAGTAGTTTTGTAGGTGTTGGTGTTTATTTTGTGTTCTGTCCATTTATTTAGTTGGTTCCGTCTTGTTTGTTGGTATTTTGTGGCCCTTTTGAACCATAACGTGTCGCTTTCAGTTGTGGTCGGGTTTCGTCTTTTTTTCCTCTAAATGTTCATCATCTTCGTTTCAAATTGCAACCAAAACGTTTTATCTCGTTTGTTTGAACTGTCGTTCTTTTGTGTCTTTTTATGGTCATTTTGCATCTTTTCTTATCAGTTCCATGAGTTTGTAATCTGTGTGGATTTTGTTATCTGTGATTTTTTTCTCTTTGTTGACTTTGTGTTGGTTCTTTTCATCGATGGTGAATGTTTCAGCTCTTTTTGGTCCTTTTCGTCTCTTTGGAGTCGTTCTTTGATCATTTCGTATCTTTTTCTGTTTGTTGTGGGTCTATTTTTAAAAAAAATATTATTAATTCCATCTTTTTCTGGTGTTTTGTGGCCCTTTTGACTCACATCGTGTTGTTTTTTAGTCTGTTCTATACATCAGTCAGATCCGGTCGTGTCTTTTGGAGTTAACTTTTCTTTTTCTCTTTGGGTTCAAACAACAGGTTCACTTATTTAATCAGCTTTAAGTGTGTAAAAACCAACATTTTGTTTGGTTTTTATGTGAAACTTTATGTCATTTAAGCAAAGAAACTGTTTAAACAGCTCAAAGTTTTATCTTTCGGGACAAAGCTGCTGAATTTGTTGACTTACTGAATGAACGAACCACAGAAAGAGACCAAAACGTGGCTTCCTGCACATTTTTTCCACGTCTAAATGGGAGCGATAAAACTCGCCTCACGAGACCCTGCATCCTCCTCCGACTTCCCACCGACTCCGAGGCGAAGCAGCCGCGACTCCGGCCGCTCGCTGCCTTACAAGGCCACGGCTCGGTATCTTAATGTTCAATCTATATGCAAGGAGCGGCGAGCCGGACGTGGAAGTGTTTCATGTCACAGCAGAGACGGTTACATAAGGCGCCGGGCTCAAACAATGGTGGCTAACGCTGCCGCTGTCAGGGCTTATTGATTTATTACTGTGCGATTATGAGAGCTGTCAGAGCCGCATAAAAATGAAACACAGCCGGGCTGATAACGGCTCGGACGCATGTGGGAAACAGCAACAGGTTGGACGCCTTAGCTGCACTCTAACACACTTACTTCATGTTTTACGTCCCCAAAGTCGTGTTTCTCCTCATGTGTTAGGCTCGTTTAGCCCGTAAAACACCACATTTATCTGAATATACAGCTGAAAACACACTAAACAAGACACAACGCTTGTTTTGTGGTGTGTTTGTGGTGGTTTTACATGGATTTTTCTTCATTTTGTGTCTCTTTCTTGTTGTTTTTAGTTGTTTTGTGGGTCTTGTTGGTCTGTTCTGTCCATCAGCTGTGATTAGAATCTTTTTCTGGTCGTGGTTCTGTGGTTTTTGTGGTCTTTTGTGATTTTTCAGCAGTTTGTGGCTCCTTTAAGTTGGTTCATCTGTCATTTGTGGCCTTTCTGTGTCATTTTGCGTCTCTTTGTGTTAAGTTTTCTTTTTTGTTGGTTTGTCTCTTCAGTCGGCTCCAAGCTTTTGTAGCTGGTTTATGTCATTCTTGATGTCTTTGCTGTCGTTTTGTTTCTATCTGTCGGGGTTCTTGGTGCTATTTTTTGCTCATTTTCTGGTATTTTGCAGTCAGTTTGTGGTGGTTTTACATGGATTGTTCTTCATTTTGTGTCTCTCTTCACTCAGTTTGGCATTTCTGTGCATCTGTGGT